ATGATTAATCAAAATTAATCCACAGGAACCCTGTGATTAATCTGATTAAAATTTTTAATCATTTGACAGCACTAATATATATATATATATTTTGTAGCTTTAAGTATCCATCCCATCCAGGGACTCAGGGGGGGGTTGGAGCCCCTCCCACACAGCGCACACACACAATCATACACTGCAGGCAATTTTAGTCTTTGAGCAGCAGGAGGCATCCAGAGTATTTAGAAGAAGCGATCAGACAAGTGGGAATCTGCTGTGTGAATGTATATAAAGCTCTCTTAAAAATTAAGAGAGCACTCTATACATAAAAAAAAAAAATCTGCATTTTTGTATCCAGGTTTAATCCTGGTTCTGCGGGCAGAAGTCTACACTGAGTGGCAGGTTGTTTCCAGATTCAAAATTTCTAAGACAGCAGTACACAAGAATAAGGTGAAGCTGGAGACTCTGGGAATGACCAGAAACCAGCCAGGTAAAGGGCGGAAGCGACTTTCTAATGCAAGAGATGACCATTAACTTATCTGACAGTTTCTCATGAATCGTAAGATGACCTTGAAGTGACCTTCAAAAGGAATGGTAAACATTAAGTGCAGGTGTGAAGTGCACTGCTAGGACAGTGTGTATCAGGCTGCTAGAAGCAAGACTTTAGTCCCATAAAGCAAGAAGAAGCCCTTCATTAATGAGAAACAGAGAAACACCAGGCTGCAGTATGAAAAATATTTATATATACATTACACCCATAAACTGAATATAGACTAAAACAAAATAGTGTGCTGTGGTTTCTTAATTTTTTACAGAGCTGTGCGATGCCAGTTGGTGTGTGTCTGTGTGTGTCTGTGTGTAGTTTTGCCTGACGTGTTCATATATCTGTTTTAGTGCATGCCGGCTTGAGTCTTCTTACCAAAGCACCGCCTTCTCGCATCTCCTTGACTTGGGCTTGTGCTGCGTTTATAACCATCAGCAATGGTTGCATTGGCATATATCCCATCATCCAGCTCCACGTTGGTGTAGATATTGTCACCCATTCTTCTGCCTGAAAGGCTGTTACTCTCGCAGGGGCTGAAGCTTCTCTGAATTTTCTGCTGCACATGTAGCCTTATTATCCTGGGATCATTGCACTTAGTGTGACTGTGTGAAAGTGTCGTCGTGGCTTCACATCTTGAGCGGAGTCATTCCTTATCTTTGCATCCTCCATGGAGAGATATTTGTCTTCTTGTTTTTTTTTCAGTGCATGCTATCTTTTTTGCTATTGCCACATTCTTACCCAGCGAGGTCATCATCATTTTGATACCTGAAAAATGAGGGTCGACTGGAAGAAGTAAGACAATTAGCAGTGGGAAAAAAATACTGAATTTATGATTAATTGTGATCCTAGTTTCAACATCGATTCACAAAATCCATCCACCCTTCTATTTTCTGTAACCACTTGTCCTATTCAGCATCACAGGAGGTCTAGAGCTTAAACCTGCAAGGGAGGGAACAACCCAAGAGGGGGCGCCATCCCATTGCAGAGTCACACCCACACATGCACACCTATGTCCATTTTGGTCACTTCAATTCACCTCAGCATATTTTTAGACTGTAGGAAGAAAGTATGCAGAGGAAACTGCACAATCACATGGGGAGGACATGCAAACTCCACATACACAGAACCCTGGAGGAGACTGTGGTCCCAGAGATGTAAGGCAACAGTGCTAACCACTGACACACCATCATCCTGCAAAATCCCAACCTCAATCTAGTTAATTCCTCTGTGACCACAGTCTCCGCGCTCCGTACTTCTCGTCAACTTGCGAGTTGCAGCTTTATTTTGCAAATCTTACATGTTTTTATTTGCTTCCTCCACTGACAGCAAAAGTTTCAATGCAGGGTCAAATGTGAGATTTGTTTCTGATAATAAATGTATCTGATCAAATGCATGGACCTGAAATGAAAGTTTGTGGATGTAACTTGCATTGTGTGAAGAAGCACAATACCGCTCCGTATTCAAAGTTGCAACCTCAGGCATGGGAGGCTAAAACCCATGGGTGCTAGTGTCTGTCATTAACACGTCTCTTAAGTTGTCAGGGAATGAGGTTTACTCACTGCACACCACTGTACCTGCTGGCTACCATTACTTGGAATACAGTTAATTTGGTGGCATATCAATTAGTGAATTAATGCTCCTTAACTGATGATCTAGTAAGTGTGAAGTAATTACATAAAGTCATTGTGACTTCATGTTTAGTTTATGATGAGCAACAGGAATTCATGATACATCTTGTATTAATTCATCCATTACATCATCATGAGTTATGAATTAGTTAAACATGGTACAAATCATAATCATAACAATCATAAGTATATGATTTGTACTCAAAGTGTTAATGAAAAGCGTACATCTGGTTTGTGCTGAAATTTCTCTGCCTCTGAAATGCTGCCTCTGAAAAGCAGGTGTAATCCAGGTAGCACATTTGTGTACACAGGGAAGATATCTGGAAGGAATGCTCCCCCCCTCAATCCACAAGCACATTCACAAAAACTACATCCGCGACACACTGAAAAAATGTCATTGTTCATTAATGTGCGTTTCTTCTCATTCCAATAGGTGAAAATTATTTAAACGTAGTTTTCTTATTTATGTCTACGGTTGAAGCCATTTTTGCAGGTTAAACTGAATAAATAATTTACATTGAGGCAACATCAAATATTTTGTGGAATTGTTTACTTCAAATATTTTAAGCTGATTCAACATTTCCATTTAGATTTAATTTTTTTCAGTGTACATCTGACGTTAAATGACAGGGCACAACCTGCACTATCTGCGGACTGGCCTAGTGAGGACAGTGACATGCACTAATTATGTGATAAGCTACAGGTTTAGTACAGATGTCAAATAACATCTGCCCCTCTGTCTCATTTGGCAGATCTGCATGGTGAAATAGGCAAACATTCCGAAATATAAATGTATAAAACTCAGTCCTCCAACCAACACCAAAAGCCTATGTACACATTTTGAAGGATTCTATATTCCCAGATTCATGCCTTTCATTTTCTTAGATAAAAAATTATTTTGCATTTTCTTATTATTGTATAGCTGTTCTTAAATTATCTCAGAATATTTTATCATTCTTAGAGGAAACCCAAAAGATCTGTTGTTCTTTGGCCTAATACTGAATATTATTTAAGGCATAAAAATGTAACAGAGGGTCTGCTATTGCATGGTGCAGTGAGGTGTGTGGCTATAATAAGGGGTGTGGCTATAATAAGGGGTGTGGCTGCAGTGAGGGGGGTGTGGCTAAAGTCACGGGTGTTGCTGCAGTGAGGGGGCAGAATTCTCCTTCACACACTATCAACAGTGAATAAACAGTCTCGTGTACTGAGGAACTTATCCCACAAAAAAGGGAAGTATAGTTCTTTTTCTGAGATTTCGCAGCAGATATGAAGAAGTATGTAATTTCCAGTCAGCCAGTTCATGGTGTGTAATGGTGCCAAATTTAAGAGCCAAAACTGCTGGACATTGGTGGTGATTTTTCTTTATAAATGAGGATAATGTATGCATGTTAAATGACAAGGTGCTTGTTCCTAGTTGACTATAATATCTTACCATTTGCTACATGCATCTTGAACGGGCCCCTCTGGGGGGGGGGGGGGGGGGGGGACTGGCCACGCACAAGCAAAGGCATCTTCTTGGAAAAGGCCAGCGGAGGGTAAAAAGCAGCACCGGGTTTGCGTCCCCTAACGGAGGGTTCAAAGTAGCGCTGGGTTTGCGTCCCCCAACGGAGGGTTCAAAGTAGCGCTGGGTTTGCGTCCCCCAACGGTGGGTTCAAATTAGCGCTGGGTTTGTCATAAATGACAATGATAATGTCACGTTCGGCTTAAGNCAGCGGAGGGTAAAAAGCAGCACCGGGTTTGCGTCCCGCAGCGGAGGGTTCAAAGCAGCACTGGGTTTACGTCCCCCAACGGAGGGTTCAAAGTAGCGCCGGGTTTGCGTCCCCCAACGGAGGGTTCAAAGTAGCGCCGGGTTTGCGTCCCCCAGTGGAGGGTTCAAAGTAGCGCCAGGTTTGCGTCCCCCAACGGAGGGTTCAAAGCAGCACTAGGTTTGCGTCCCCCAACGGAGGGTTCAAAGTAGCGCCGGGTTTGCGTCGCCCAACGGAGGGTTCAAAGTAGCGCCGGGTTTGCGTCCCCCATTGGAGGGTTCAAAGTAGCGCCAGGTTTGCGTCCCCCATTGGAGGGTTCAAAGTAGCGCTGGGTTTTCGTCCCCCAAAGGAAGGTTCAAAGCAGCACCGGGTTTGCGTCCCCTAACGGAGGGTTCAAAGTAGCGCTGGGTTTGCGTGAACCCTGCGGTACCCCACTATGAACGCAGGCCCACTGTGACATTGTGCCTCTTATAACTACTCGCTGCTTCCTGTCTGTTAACCAGTTATCAATCTAGGTTGCTACAGTTCCTAAAAAACCTGTTTAAGTAAGAGACTCTTGTGGGGGACAACATCAAAAGCCTTTTGGAAATCTAAGTAGATGACATCATAGGCCTTCTTATCATCAACTTCCTGAGTAGCTTCCTCAAAAAACTCCAACAGATTTGTTAAACAGGATCTACTGCATGTAGAAGCAGAAGAGGGTCCTACACAATACAAGGTCGGTGCACCAGGAAAAGTGTTAACTGAATATAAAAAGTTCTAAAAAGACATAAATGACAATGGTAACATACGAATAAGGATAATTGCTCAAAATAAATCATAATCTACAATACTAAATTTTTATAAAAAGCATGAGTATTATAGTATATAATAGAAAAGCACATAAACATTTTACAAAAACTTCTTCTTGCTGCAGAAGAGCTGAGATTAACCTACTTCTAACATACTTTTCAATGAAAATAAACATTTCACCCTGACTGTCCCTCTATAGTCAACAGTGAGTGATGGAGAGACCCTCCATTTGTCGGTTAACACTTGGGTACGGATTCACAAATCCATTTTATATTATCATCACATGGACGGTCGTTCCACCTCTGAAAAGGAACAGAATGTACAGTATTGAACTCCACACAGTCTTCATTTCCTCCGTAGTTATCAGGCTGCTGTGGATTTGCTCGCCAGTACCTGGAGACAGTGCAGTGTTAATGGTTTTCTGACATCCACAGTTTGCAATACAATCATTTGTTATTTAACAGTAGCTAACATTGTTAGTTAGAAGTAGCAGCTACAGCAGAGTGGCAGAGATATTATAGTTCTGTACTATAAGGGAAAGAATGCAACGGTACTGAAGTTAGCAGTAGGAAGCAGTGCTTAGAGTACTGTGCAGTTTACTGTTAAGAGTACAATAGCGTATGGAGTACATATTACATTACTGTACTATGTAGTTTAAAGGATGCTACAGTGATGTGGGGGAACCTAGTCTTTGCCTCTACGTCTCTGTAATTGTGTGCAGGCTGGTCTTACCCTTTCTCTACAGGAATTGTTGTTCCATCCACCCATTTCCAGGTTCCTTCTCTCTCTCTGTCACTGAGACCAATCCAGAAATCTCCAGACTGACCTTCAAAAAAGTCCTGAAGTTTAAGAAATATTACAATGAGTGAAAGTTCCCTTTGAAAGTTATTTATTTGGAGAAAGTGGAAATGACATTGGACTGTAAATAACTGATTCTTGGCCTCTGGTTTGTCATGGCAGCTAATCGGACAGTCGGGTGCAAATCACTTGAAGAAACGATGTTTTGAACAAAACACTAGA